GAACTATCGTCCTGTATTGCGTGGCATGGGGGAGCTCCGAAAAGATTATTTATGATCAGAAGCACCGATTTCACTATAGATATTAGACAGTTATTGTTCTTATTAGGGCTATTTATGGGAACGATAACATTATCAGCTTTTTTCCCCCTTTTATGATCATTCGATGTCAATCATGTATACCCGGTCAAGATTATTTCTTTTTCATTATTTTGGTTTTGGTTTATCTAAATCGTTTTTTTTATCATTTACTATTCGTGCAATTTCTACCTCCCAGATTAAACCAAACTACTCACGCATCGCGACTTAACTCCAATCACACAACACGAAATCTCGAAATCACCATCCCAGCTGCCTGCCAGACCAAGCGTTGGGACTGATGCCACGCACTCTGCTTGCACCAGGAAATCCATACGCCGCCGGAAGTGACAGAAAGCAAGTGAGGTGCCAAGCGCAGTGCCAGCGGAATGGACAGGCACCAACATGACACCCGGACACACAGCAACGCGCGTCCCTCTGGCATCCCATCAAGAAATCACGCTGTGAAATTATTCTCTAAGGCATTGCATTGCTTTCTCTAAGACATAGATTTGTTAATTACAGTCGCTTTGGCATGGAGTTATCACGACGTTACGTAATTACCTACATATCTATCATGAGATTACCTAGAATTATCTATGACGCAATTATAGTCTCCGAGACATGGCATTAGTAATGAGTGTCACTAACAAGGAAAGCTACGACTCCGAGTTCACTAAGGCATGGAATTATCAAGGAATCACCTAATTACCCACACAATTGTCATGGAATCAACTAAGTACAACGTTCGTGACAGAATCATTACAGGCTTCCGAGAATGACAAAATTCTCCAAAGACAGGAAGGATGCCAGTCTGATTCGAGAACATTTCCTAATATCTGCTGACTGTGACTTACGCCATTACCGGGAAAGTTAATTTTGTAGCATTCCACATCATGCGGACCGCGAAACGTTTACATAAATGTCACGATCTTCACCAAACACTAACACGTGAGCATGGCAAGGAGAGGTGTGTATACTATTTTGGTCGCTCTCTCCCAAGACCTCACCGACTGGTTTCAAAAGGAACAAAACGGCTTCTACAGAAACGGCTATCTGGTTGCTAAAGGAACGGCCGTTTGGTTGCTAAAGGAACGGCCGTTTGGTTTATAAAGAAATCCAGTTAGTTTCCAAATGAAAAAAATCCCCCAGGTTTCTATAAGAATGAAAGGTTAGTTTCTAAAAGGAAAGTCCAGTGGCTTTCTAAATAAAACCTCCACTTGAAAACGTCCGGCAAAATACGAACGGTAATAAAAAAAACATTCCCCGTGTGATAGTGATAGCGGTAGCAGGTGTGTGCGGCTGGAAGAAGCCACTTCAGGATACGAGATACTAAAATGGCGGCGGAAAACTCTACGGGGCAGTACAAAGTTTTCACTTAACGAGGCCCAGCTCCGGACACTAAGGACGGCTCGGCACGGCAGCGGACACTTTACGACCATTTCAAGGTGTGTGTCTGAAGAGAAAGAGAAAGAGAGAAAAGAGAGGGAGAAGAGAGGAAAAAGAAGGAAGGGAGAAAGGGAGAAGAGAGGAAAAAGAAGGAAGGAAGAAAGGAAGGAAAGAGTGAGAGTAAGACTGAGAGAGAGAGAGAGAGAGAGAGAGAGAGAGAGAGAGAGAGAGAGAGAGAGAGAGAGAGAGAGAGAGAGAGAGAGAGAGACAGAGAGAGAGAGACAGACAGACAGACAGAGAGAGACAGACAGACAGACAGAGAGAGAGAAAAAGTCAGAGAGAGAAAAATAATGAGAGAAAGAGCGCGTGTATATATACACGTACGTATCTATACCCATGTGTGTAAACACGTGTACGTATATATATACATGCAAGACACCTAACAAAGAGATTGATGACGCGCTTGAGTGTTTCCAGGAAAATGGCCGAGGAAAAAATTGCAACACGGTTCATGACGGAGCCAACGAGCCGGAGGAATATCTTTTGTTCTTTATCGACAAACTTTTATGCCATAATCGAGAACACCAGCTGCGACCTGTTGAAAGGAAAGTAAAGGAGTGCACAGGATTTCATAATAAACGTGTAGATAGTAGATAATCGCGGATAAAGACCGAGACAAAAAAAAAGAAAAAAAAAAAAGAAAAAGGAAAGAAAAAAAGAAAGAAAAAAAGAAAGAAAAAAAAAACGGTCTATAAACTCGATAAAGACCGAAGACCTTTAGGCACCTTCATCTTTATTCACCCTTCCAACTTCCCCTTCCCCCTCCCCTTCCCCTAACCCCTTTTCGCACTTTTTTTAAACCCTTTTCCCCTTCCCCTTCCCTTTCTCCTTCCCCCAACCCATTTTCGCACTCTTCTTAACACTCTTCTGCTTCTTCCTTCCCTTCCCCTTCCCTCAACTCCTTTTCGTACTGTTTTTAACCCTCTTCTGCATCCCCTTTCCCTCTTCCTCCTCCACTTTCCCCTTCCCTTCCTCTTCCACTTCCTCCTTCCCTTCCTCTTCCACTTTCCTCTTCCCTTCCGTTCTAAATCTTCCCCAATGCCCCGACCCTTCTAACTACCTTCCCCTGTAATTAATGCTAACTACATTATGCACAAACAAAAAGATGGGGGGACGCTCCTTTCTGACAACTCCGAATAAACATATTTACCAATAGCTTCATCAAAGCATGCGACTGGAAAAACACAGCTCACCTGGAATGCATTCACTATTACATTTCTATTCTTTTCTCATTTGCACTTTATTGTTGTCACTGGCATTTTTGTTGTTTTGGGGGAAAATGCATCTTTCCGTTTTCCCTTGGCATTATATTTCTCAAGCTCAAAAAAAACACGGTTTCTTCTGAAACCATAAAATGCACATGAAGGTAAAAAATATACGTATATATAATGTAGCCATGCCGATAACAATGCTCTATCTTGCATTAATATCATGGCGAGTGTCACGGCAAAATACATTCTACACAATCATGCTAGCTTTCAGTGCTCATAGGAAAACAAAATAGGACAAAGGCATGCACATTCGCCATAACACGAAAAAAATGTGTGTATATATGCATTTTCCAACTCCGTGTACACTATGCAGATTTTCGTAAAACCGGGAGAAAAAAATGGATATGAACGGGTGTGAAACATAACGCAAAAATAAAAGTCTGCAATAAAGAAACGTGTAATTCTCACTTGCCAGGCAGCAGATGTAACACAGCTGTTAATGTAACGGCGCCTGGGACAGTGGCACGTCCTCTTCCTTTCCTCATTCATTCCCTCCCTCTCTCCCTCTCTTCCTTTCTCTCCCTCCCTCCCTCCCTTCCTTCCCTCTCTCCCTTTCTTCCCTACCATCAGCTGGCCCAAAGTGCACATTAAATGTCCCCCAAATAGTATTCCTTGCACTCTTTAAATGCCAGGACCCCCCCCCTCTCCCTCTCCCTCTCCCTCCCTCTCCTCTCTGTCTCTGTCTCTCTCTCTCTCTCTCTCTCTCTCTCTCTCTCTCTCTCTCTCTCTCTCTCTCTCTCTCTCTCCCTCTCTCTCTCTCTCTCTCTCTCTCTCTCTCTCTCCCTCTCTCCCTCTCCCTCTCCCTCTCCCTCTCCCTCTCCCTCTCCCTCTCCTCTCTCCTCTCCTCCTCTCTCTCTCCCCTCTACCTCTCCCTCTCCCTCTCCCTCCCCCCTCCCTCTCCCTCTCCCTCCACCTTTCTCTCTCCCTCCCTCCTCCCTATCTCCCCCCTCCATCTTTCTCCCTCTTTCCCTCCTCCCCCTCTTCCACCTTTCTCTCTCTGCAAGGATCATGACACTACACTGCAAACGCGAACTGTTGCAAGTGCAATGTGTCGAGCGCTCTTTAGGACTGGAATTAAAACCGTTTAATCCCTGTCATCAAGACCGCATATAAGTTTGAATGTTACTCTAAATATTCCTCCAACACTTAGTTCTGAATGCACAGGCTATTCGAGTGCCGATTGAAAAAAAAAAAAAAAAAAAAAAAAAAAACATATGGAAATAATCATATCAAATAAGCAAATATCTTCATTCCAGTGTATGTGTGCACACAAGCGGGTGTACACGTGTGTGTATGTACTGGAATATACATGCATGTGAATAAGTGCATGCTATCTGCTCACTGATTTTGCGTGTTTATATGAATGAATATATATTTGGATATGTATTTGTACCAAGTCATGTCACAATAGGTTATGACTGCAAGCATGTATCCAAATATATGTCAAAGGATGCATGTATCTAAATCATGTGCATTGAAAGTAGGAATGTATCATGTAAGCATCAATGTATATCTATGTATACCGTAGGAACTCACTATCTAGTAGAAAACAGTAGAAAAAGTACAAAGATATAATACTCGTTTTACAAGCGGAATATTCAGGACGAAAATAATACAAAAAAGAGCATCCACAACAGATGGGAATGGAAAAAAATGCAAGATCAAAAGAATAACTTTTCAAATATACGAAAAATGTTTTAAAAAAAATATGTACTGGACAAAAGCACAACACAAGCAAAACGAAAAAAAACAGAAATAAAAACAAAAAACAAAAACAAACGATGACGGAAAAAAAATATAAAATAAAAATTGGTTATAAAAAAACAATAATATAAAAGAAAATCACAATCAAAAAGCAATACATAAAATTGCACAACAAAACATCAAGGATATTTTAAAAATAATAAAAAAAACGAAAACAAAAATAAGACAAAAAAAAAAAAACGAAAACAAAAATAAGACAAAAAAACGAAAACAAAAATAAGACAAAAAAAAAACAAAAACAAAAATAAGACAAAAAAAAAACGAAAACAAAAATAAGACAAAAATACAAATACGAAACGAAACGAAAATAAGCAATACGAATAAAAAAAAGACAATAATACTAAACGGACAAAGAACAGGACTGGCGTACGAGGCCGCCTGACGGGCCAGCGGGCAGAGCGAGATCAAAGGGCGGTCAAGACACGAGCGGTCAAGGGTTACCTGAGGTCCACCAAGGGCAACAACCTCCGCCTCTTGACAGGCGTGACCCTGCTGACGTCATCGGGGGCAAAGTCACGTGACCCCGAGGAGTCGTCGGCGTTGGGGTCTCGCTCCCGGGGTGGAGGGGGGGAGGGGCGGGGGTGGTGATGGGGGCGGGGCGATGCCTCGGAAGCCATGACGTCACAGCTGATCAGCAGGAGCGGCAGCAGGAGGCGGAGGAGGAGGCAGCAGGAGCGTCGGGCATTCCCGCACCATCGTGCAACTGCTTCGACGCCGCTCGCCT